AAGAAGGCGGATATTTCTGCTTCCAACACCCTAGTTGAATCCCTGTTTGCTACAGATGCTATGACCACCTTGAAAGGAGGGGGTTTTTACAGCAAACTGAAGCATGTAACCCTTGGTTACAGTCACGAGGACCCTAGGATGCACAGAACACTCTCTCAGCCTCCTGATGAAGAACCAGAGGGATCTACTGAACTGATTCCATAGATTGAGTTCTGGCGCCATCTAGTGGACAGAGAGAAAAACTGACAGGGTCTGAGTGCCATGGAGACTGATTTCTCTTTTGGTTCATTGTTATTATTATTTTTATTTTTTTTTGTCCCCCTGCACCCTCAGCACTGAACCTGGATGCGACAGAGAACTTTTTATTTGCTTTGAACCCAGGGACTGAAATGCTTTGTGAAAATACACTTGAGAACTTGTGCTTGTACCCATCGAACCACATTCTCTTGGTGGCTTAGTTTCCTGCACTCGAACTTGTGGTATTACTGTCAGCAATCCACGGAACACTGTGTGCAGTGACGTGCGGTGAGGTTCGTAGCTGGAGAGGCACTGACTCTTTCAAAGTCAGATTTACAAATATATGAATTCAACAGAGTAGAATAAATTCACCTTTCAACTGGCTGCTTGCACACTGACAACTGGTTATGTTTCATATACCATATCAGCATTCTTTATACACACACACACACACACACATAGGTAAGGTACATATTTGGCTAAAGAAGAACGTTAAATTTATAGCGCTCAGAAAGAGCGCATCTGCTCTGCACACTCCGTGTGTTCTTAATTTGCAATCAGAATTCCACAATTCAAACTCATTCAATACAAATGAAAGTACAGTGTATACAGTCCACAACAAAAAGACAAATGTAGTATAATACTTTAAAATAACTTTTTTTCTTATCTTGTTTTATATATTTTTTTCAATTTTATTATTAAAAAAGGGCTGGTCTTTTATTTTTGTCGTGGACCAGTGTATGCAGGGTTTTACCTTTACTTGTCTGTCATTACTCACATCATCAATTCCCCAAAACTCCTCCCTGACTTCACAGGCCACCTCACTGCACGCCACAGAACGCAAAATGACAGATCTGGGCTTTATTTGTGACATCGTCTACTTCTACAGCAACAAATGGGGTTGCATTAATCTCCTTTTTATATCAAATCACTTATTGCTTCAATTAAATTGTTCCGAATTCTGTGTGATTAGCCAGAAAACACAGTTGATGCCTATAAATGTCTAGATAACCCATCATCTTTCTCAGCAAAAGCTAGCAAATAGTTCTACGGATTAGAACTATTAGAAGAGATTGTGCTCTCATCGTTACCACAAAATGCTAATTGCTGTTCGGCTAGGAAGCAAGTTGAGGTTAATTAGGTCTTTTAAAAACTTATCGTTTTCCTTTACCTCTGCATGGTAGATGATAATATTTAGTCTCCACTGTTCGCTCAAAGCCAAATCTATCCTCGCACTTCCAAAAGTTTTTAAAGCAATTTGACTTTGGTAAACAGCGCACTTACATAGTGCTTTTATCCAAAGCACTGTGCCTCATTCACAATCAAAGCTGCCATGCAAGGCGCTAACTTGCCATCGGGAGCAACTTGGGGTTCAGCGTCTTGCCCAAGGACACTTCAGTATGTGGAGTCACGTGGGACGGGAATCAAACCCCCAACTCTAAGATTAACGGACAACCCGCTCTACCACCTGAACCACAGCCCCTGAGAGTTGAAGGTGATTAGTTGAACTTTCCTGTCTGCTGAGGCGAAATGACAGGGAAAGCAGAAAAGCGGTTTCTCGAAGCACAACCACGCAGCCAGTGTTTTCAGGTGTAGCACTCCGTGTGAAAGGAGCGCGTTATCTTGTGACCCGTCATTTGAAGCAAAACTTTTAGCTCTGCCATTGATCTTCCATTATTTATCACTTCCAGTGATAAAAAATAATGATAGTGAATTCATGTTAGTTTTAATTTAAGCAATGTGTTCATAAAACTGTGTAATTTCAGCTACAACATAGTTATTTTTGGAGGTGTAGATAAAACAACAGATTCTTGGTTATCTTATAGTTGGGACATGAAGCAGACAGGTCTCCTAAATAAAGGATTAGTCTACTACACCATCGCACTGACCACAAGGAAAGCCTGACGTCAATAGGTTTTTGAGTGGACCTTACACTCAAGAATTACTGATTATTCATGCTACAGAACAACAGCCATTTGGCTACATTGTTTTTGTTGAAGTACAAAGCAAGCAGTACATAGCAGAGGATGGTTTCGATCCATCGACTTCTGGGTTATGGGCCCAGCACGCTTCCGCTGCGCCACTCTGCTCTGCGTGCTGACGTGTTGGGTCTAGAATTCAAAATCCTTGTATTCGGCGGTAAGAAACATATCCTTTAGACCACTGGGAATCGGTATTCAAACTCAAATGACCAGCATCAATAGTACTAATACTCATCTTCGCTGTAAACCAATTGATTCTTGGTCATCTTTCAATTGAGGCATGAAGCAGACAGGTCTCCTAAATACAGGATTTGTCTGCTACACTATTGCACTGACCACAAGGAAACCCTGACGTCAAAATGTTTTTGAGTGGACCTTACACTCAAGAATTGCTGATTATTCATGCTATAGAGCAACAGCCATTTGGCTACATTTGCTTTTTGAAGTACAAAGCAAGCATTACATAGCAGAGGATGGCTTCGATCCATCGACTTCTGGGTTATGGGCCCAGCACGCTTCTGCTGCGCCACTCTGCTCTGCATACAGAAGTGTTGGGCCTAGAATTCAAAATCTTTGGACTCGGCTGTAAGTAACATATCCTTTAGACCACTTGGAATCGGTATTCAAACTCAAATGACTAGCATCAGTAGTACTAATACTCATCCTCGCTGTAAAACAATTGATTCTTGGTCATCGTTCAGTTGGGGCATGAAGCAGACAGGTCTCCTAAATACAGGATTTGTCTGCTACACCATTGCACTGAACACAAGGAAACCCTAAACGCTTTGGAGAAGGCCTTACATTCCTTCACAGATTACCATTTACTTATGTTATAACACAAAGTAGCACTGGCCATGTTCTGGTTTGAAGGACAACGCAGGCTGTAAATAGCAGAGGATGGTTTCAATGCATAAACGTCTGGGTTATGGGCCAAGCACGCTTCCGCTGCGCCACTCCGCTCTGCAGCCAGACTTGTGGAGCCTAGAATTCAAAACCCTTGGATTCGGCTGTAAGTAACATCCTTTAGACCACTGGGAATCAGGATTCAAACTGAAGTGCCTACGGCTGTAAGTAACATCCTTTAGACCACTGGGAATCAGGATTCAAACTGAAGTGCCTAGCATCAATAGTACTAATATTCATCTTCAGTCTAAAACAACAGATTCTTGGTTATCTTTCAGTTGGGACATGAAGCAGGCAGGTCTCCTAAATAATGGATTTGTCTGCTACACAATTACACTGACCACAAGGAAACCTTGAAGTCGACATGGTTTTGAGTGGATTTTACACTCACGAATTGCTGATTTTTCATACTAAAGAGCAACAGCCACTTGGCTACGTTTTTATTTTGAAGTTCAAAGCAAGCAGTACATAGCAGAGGATGGTTTCGATCTATTGACTTCTGGGTTATGGGCCCAGCACGCTTCCGCTGCGCCACTCTGCTCTGCGTGCTGACGTGTTGGGTCTAGAATTCAAAATCCTTGTATTCGGCGGTAAGAAACATATCCTTTAGACCACTGGGAATCGGTATTCAAACTCAAATGCCTTGCACCAATAGTACTAATATTCATCTTCAGTGTAAAACAACAGATTCTTGGTTATCTTTTAGTTGGGACATGAAGCAGGCAGGTCTCCTAAATAATGGACTTGTCTGCTACACCATCGCACTGACCACAAGGAAACCATGAAGTCAGGGCTTCTCTGCTACACCATTGCATTGACCACGAAGAAACAAGGAAACCCTGAAGTCACGACTTGTCTGCTACACCGACCACACGGAAACCCTGAAGTCAGGGTTTGTCTGCTACACCATTGCACTGAGAACAAGAAAACCCTTAAATCAAAAGGCCTTACATTCCTTCACAGATTACCATTTACTTATGTTATAACACAAAGGAGCACTGGCCGTGTTTGAAAGACAATGCCGGCTGTAAATAGCAGAGAATGATTTCGATCCATCGACTTCTGGGTTATGGGCCCAGCACGCTTCCGCTGCGCCACTCTGCTCTTCAGCCAGACTTGTTGAGCCTAGAATTCCTTGGATTCGGCTGTAAGTAACATATTCTTTAGACCACTTGGAATCAGGATTCAAACTCAGATGACTAGCATAAATAGTACTAATACTCATCCTTACTGTAAAACTGTGATTCTAGGTCATCTTTCAGTTGGAGCACGAAGCAGACAGGTCTCCTAAATACAGGATTTGTCTGCTACAACATTGCACTGAGAACAAGGAAACCCTAAAATCAAATTGCTTTGGAGGAGGCCTTACATTCCTTCACAGATTACCATTTACTTATGTCATAACACAAAGGAGCACTGGCCATGTTTGAAAGACAATGCCGGCTGTAAATAGCAGAGGATGGTTTCGATCCATCGACTTCTGGGTTATGAGCCCAGCACGTTTCCGCTGCGCCACTCTGCTCTGCAAGCAGATGTGTTGGGTCTAGAATTCAAAATCCTTGGACTCGGCTTTAAGTAACATATCCATTAGACCACTGGGAATCGGTATTCAAACTCAAATGACTAGCATCAATAGAACTAATACTCATCCTCGCTGTAAAACCACAGCTTCTTGGTAATCTTTCAGTTGGAGCATGAAGCTGACAGGTCTCCTAATTAATGGATTTGTCTGCTACACCATCGCACTGACCACAAGGAAACCCTGAAGTCGAAATGGTTTTGAGTGGACCTTTCACTCACCAATTGCTGATTTTTCATGCTATTGAGCAACAGCCATTTGGCTACGTTTTTGTTTAGAAGTACAAAGCAAGCAGTACATAGCAGAAGATGGTTTCAATCCATCGACTTCTGGGTTATGGGCCAAGCACGCTTCCGCTTCGCCACACTGCTCTGCATCCAGAATTGTTGGGCCTAGAATTCAAAATCCTTGGATTCGGCTGTAAGTAACATATCCTTTAGACCACTTTGAATCGGGATTCAAACTCAAATGCCTAGCATCAATAGTACTATTATTCATCTTCAGTGTAAAACATATGTAAGTATAATAGTGCCAAAAGTCCTTGAAACTTGAATTACATAACCTGAAAAAAACTTGTCACAATAACAATACTTGATTTTTTTCTGCCCAGCAATTTGACACAAATCGAAAAATAAACACCACAATATCAGTGCTTCATTTAATTTCCTGACAAATTCAGGCTGCAAAAATTCAGGTCTTCACATTCAGGCTGCAAAAATTCAGGTCTTAAATTCAGGTCTAAAAATTCAGGTCTTCACATCCGGGTCTCACAGGAAGAGCGGTGGATTGCCGATAGTATTATTTCTTGCTGCTCAGAACCGCCTCAATGCCCTGGTGGTTGTGGTGTGAATTGCACTTCCGTACCGATAGTGAATCAGAAGATGAACCAAGGGGTAAGTTAAACTATTCTTTATTTATCAACAGCACAGCGGGATATTTTACTACACTGTTGGATTACTTTTCATTTATCTTTTCGGAAAAATGGTAGTCATTCATTGTAACGAAGTTATGTTAGCTTTTTGTGAGCTAGCTAGCTAATGTTAGTTTTCCCCACAGCACTTTCCCCTGAATAATGCTGTTTGGCATATTCCTTTAGACATGGATTACATGGAGTTTATTTGCTCACAGGAGTTGTTTTTTTTTTGTTCGATTTCTGAGATGGTGAACATTCCACCGGACATTTTAACAGGAATAGTAGAACTTCTCACCGTAATTATGCAAATTGTGCCCAGGAGGGAGACCCGCACAGTGATCATTCAACAGGAACAAGGGCCAATGGGGCGTCCACGTCTCGATGTCTCACCTGATCACATCGCAAACCTGCTGGATCTGAATCGGTCTGTTCCCGCTATTGCCAACCTGTTAGGGATAAGTAGACGAACTTTATTCAGACGAATGGCGGAATGTAATCTCTGAGTTCGAGCTGTATATACCAGACTGACGGACGAGGAGTTGGATGCTTCTATAACCGCTCTGAATGCCTCACTGTGGATATAGAATGATGAGAGCAGCGCTTAAGACACAAGGACACCGAGTGCAGTTTGACCGAGTAAGAGCTTCAATACACCGGGTCGACACCACACCGTGGGAGTCATATCTCGTTTGACACAGCTTGGCTGTGTAGTTCGAAGGACTTACTCAGTCTCCAGTCCAAGGTCAATTATGCACATCGACACCAATCATAAGCTGATTCGGTAAGTAATAAAAAAAAAGTTGATAGTGAATTCATGTTAGTTTTAATTTAAGCAATGTGTTCACAAAACTGTGTAATTTCAGCTACAACATATTTATTTTTGGAGGTGTAGATGGCTTTTCACGGAAGGTAAGGGTTACCCTTTGTCAAGTAGATTCACCATTCTTTAGGGAACTATTGAGTTGATTGTGTATACATGTACTTTCATAGATAATGTACCTTGGCGCTGCATCTAACAACCTTGCGTCAACTACGCTGGCTTTTTTTCAAGAAGCAGTGGAAACTTTTGGCTTTCCCCTAAGGTACATTCATGATTATCAAATTCTATGTATAAAAAGCTGTTTGATACAGCTATATTTCTTACTATTTTATAAATGACATTAATTCAAGACAAGAAAAGTCAAACAGGCAGTTTCATGCATCAATCTTTACACTATCGGGGTACGAAGTGACCAGGGCATTGAAAATGTGTATATTGCTCGCCTAATCTTCACAGTCCGTGGGGCGGGCAGGGGAAGCTTTATTTCAGGAAAGAGTGTCCATAATCAGCTGTGTGTTGATTTAAAACCATGTATACTTATCAGTATATCTACTGAGGTTCCAGTTTACAAAATCACTTGACACTGAATTTTACTTTTGTATGATTCATTTATTCCAGTATTGAGAGGCTGTGGTGAAATGTCTGGACATCGGTGACAAATGTGTATTATGATGTTTTGCACTCCCTAGAGGAATGTGGCTACCTTGACATTTCAGACCCAACTCACCTCTTTTGTCGCCATTATGTTTTTCTTCCACGGCTTCAAAATGACCTCAACTTGTACTGCAGAACCTGGGACAATCACCCGATTCGCAGAGAGGGTAGTATGACTCCTAACCAGTTGTGGGCAATGGGAAGTGTCAACCATCCTGTACCTGAACCCAACATTGAGGCATGTGGTCTACTTTTCATATGTGAAACTGTCTGTCTTTATTTTTTTAACTAAGAACAATAAGTAAGAATGCTGCTATGAATGGAATGCTCGTTTTGTTGAGAGCTTTAGGAAGGACTTCACATGTTATGATTAATGGTCCAAAATTTGTCTTTTAGGGACTGAGCATACCGC